GGGTGCATTCGTTACCTCTTATTATCGTCCACACCAGCACTTCATATTTGGTGCAAAAGTTAGTTGCTAACACAAGCAAGTTCCATTCATTTATTATTGATGCTGATAGCTTTTATATCCTAGTGAAGATTAAATTACGAGCAACTTCGGAGAACTTGTAGTGCAGCGTCGAGTCGTGTTTGACTATGATCAACACTACAGGAAGACTACTTGCCAATTAACCGATAAGATCCCCCGTAAGCCGAATATCAGCAGGCAGTTGATAGCTGTAGTCGAGATGTATTTGTTGGCGATCTCGTGGTATCGAAAGAATACCGAGATTGTGCCAAAGGAGTACAAGTGTTGTTACTGAGAGTATCCAAATTCGTGCAAGGTCATAATCAGAGAAAGAATGTCTTTAGTACAGTTAAACAAACAAGTACAGTAAAACAATCACTGGTATAATTCGTAATAATAATAATTGTTTCCATTACAACAATCGCGTTTTCATGATAAAAGTATGTCACTACAGGAGCCCCCCGCTAGAAAAGGTTTACACATTCGTTACGTAGCGGTTTCGTTCGTGAGAATGATCGGCAAACCTGCGATTGTAGGACGAAAGAGTTGGCAGAGCAGGAAGCGACCGTTGATCCTATAGCTGCCACCGAAGGTCTTTCACGTAGAACGGTACCAGGAGAAACGTGTTGTATCTGTTGCCAAAACAAAGTAATTGAACAAATGACGGTTCTAATATTCATCATAAATTTAAATGTACATTGTTACCTAAGCAAATATGACCACCCAACTGTTCAACCAATAATTGTTCAATTAATCGAATCTAAATTACAGTAAATGAGGAAATTGATAAACGATGCGAGAGAATTACTAATCGCAACGAATAACTGTTATTCTATCCTGTCTGGATAGACCACACACAGATTCGTTCAAAAGATAATATTTAGTTGCTTTATAACAGAGTGTTTCCAATTCTGGAAGACTGCTTCAATTCACGATCAAAAATACACACTTCTAGTCAATACAAGCAGCACAATCAAAAGGAGGAACAAAACCAATATGGTTGTCACCAAGACTAAGTGTCAATTTAAACAACATGAATACAGTTCAGTGAAAAAAATGAAATTTTAGTGAAGGCATAAGGAAAATGAAAATGATGGTTCACTAACTAGCTTTAATAGCACTTACGTGCTTCAGCGAAATGAACTTGTTTAAACATCAAGCTCTATCAATTATGATCTATAATAACCTAAATATGCATTGACTAACAACGTAAGAAAGGACTAGATAGTTATCTTGATCTAATTCTTAGTGTTCCTTCACCTCATCCTGTTTTAAACTATTCACTATCCTGTAATATCTTTTCTTCCGACCACTGCCTGCCTAATTTCATATTTTCGAGTTCCATTGCCAAATAACAAGGATGACATTTCTCCAAAAACATGCGGTGAGTTTAAGTTATAAGTTTTCTGCAATCATAAATTCATTTTAAATGGCTCGTTCCATGGCGACTACACAATTATCTGGATTCATTCGATTGTTCTGATCCGAGCGAGTGGCAAAAACGTCAACAGCATCAAGCACCCCGGAATTAATTGTCATACTGCATGTTTTATTCTGGATACTTTTGGATCATTACTACTCCTCACGAATGGCGTTATATATGTCGTACATTGAATAATCTAATTTTCAAAAATAATCAAGGCGAGTTCAACTATTTTGCTTAATGATTTTTTGTACTTAACATGTATATGTTTTCCAGTTGCTTTTTCCATATATTTGTAAGTGACCCTAGGCTAAATGCAGTAACTTCTTACGGAATGTTTAAAACGCATCATTTTCCTGCCTGAAGTTTCACAAGCAGTCTTAACTTTAAAATTATTTATCTGGACATGTTCATTATTATTAAATTGTCATATACGTCAACAACCTGCATGTTAACATGGCCCATACATACGTTGCACTATATCTTCATGTCTTTTAAGTTTAGAAATCATCTGAATCGCCTTTAACATTTATCAATAAACCCATCATAATCGTTGTCGCTAAACGTATTTGGGTTTATGGATTGGTTTATCATATTAGCAGCCTAAAATGCGAACATAGTTTAGATAATAAGATTAAAAATTTAGGTTCTATCAACTGCACTAGCAAAATAACTAAACCGTCAGGTAGCTGTTGCCTAAACAAACGTTTAAAATCAAAACTCTTTAGCCTACTAGAATTAACACTAAACGAATCTTTCCGAACTAAAATTTATAATTAAATTAGGCGTCTCGGATTCTTTAACGTTATAAATTTCTGATAATTTCGAATCACCTAAAGCAACAATACTTATTTTTCCACTGACTAATCCTCAATCAACACTATAACAAGTTAAATTTAATAGTTTCATTATATCGTCATAAAGCATTGTCAAGACTTGACAATCACGTAATATGATTGATAAAATTAATGAAACCATTAACAAAATCGGTCAGCAAATTGACTTATAATTATCACTAGTGTTGTTTTTCTTTTATCTTCATTCACTACAGATGATTACAGTATGTTTCTCTATCAGTTGCTCATTCAGTAAATATCTCAAAACCTTGTCAGTCTAATTGATGGTTTAGCGACACAATCATGCATGCAAATAATCAGTATAAGCAGTCGAGCAAATCTCCTGCAAACTGAAAACATCAATGTCGAATTTACCCCAACACTGACTAAGGTTCAAGCCATTACCCTAGACATGAGTTGGGAGTGTACTCCCCTTGGTTACAACTTATGTTCTCCCTGATAATCTCATGAGCATCACTCACTATTAATCATCATATAAAAACTTATTTAGCCAAATACATCTTGCAGAACCACATCACTTAGTAATACGACACATAGGCTTAACTGATTTCAGTAACTTATAACCACTATATCTCAGTTAAATCGTATTCCACCTTATAATAAACTGCATACTTGCAACTAACTTGTGTGCCCAATAAGCCGGCAAGTATAAATATAAATAAATGGTCTGCTGCAGATCAGAACATTGAATCTAGAGCATATATCTTACGAACACACTCATGTTTAACGATTTGTTTTTAGCTATCTGTCCAAAACTCATATAATTATCACTCACGTATTTAAATTTTGTTTTGATAACCATTCATGTGTATTAGTAGTATTACTAAATTCTATCACGGTCAAGTAAAAATGAGGTTGAGAAAATCTCCCCGTAACTAAATAAACCGTATCAAACTAACTGGAGCACTAGTTGGAATTCTCCACGGTAATATTTTTGTTCCTTCAGTTAGCCTACTAATACAAATGCAATTGAAAATCAACTCATTGACAACTTACTAGCACGAACGTTATTTGATTTTATAATTTAAACCAAAACTAATACCAATATTAACATTTCTACAATATTGATTGCTCTTAATATTTCTAAACACAAAATACATACCACGTATGAGTTAAGTTATTAACCAACGGTTATTAACACGCATCGTTTTATTATTACTATTGTAATCCCATTTTCTGTAGCTCAAATAATCTTCACCCAAATTCTCATTTTAAGCGTGTTAAGCATGAAGGCAGGTATTTTTAAATTATTACATTACCAGATGCTGCCGCCTTCTGATTTATCTTTCAGCTTACCATTACCCGGGGATGCTTACTAGTCTTGGTAACCTTCGGCGCACGACAATCCCACCCAATTCAGTATCGAACCAGCATCACGTTGATTCTGGTGAGAGAGTAGTGTAGTGGCATTGGACAATAACCACACAATCCACAAAGCTGAACACAAGACTACTCAGAAAATAGATATGCAATATTGAACGCGGGGAAATACCTAACGATGGAGAAGGCGCGAACAAGGAGTTGAATGGACTGGAGTTGATCGGATGGCATAGCGTGGTCCATCTCAATGTTACTTTATATCTTCTATTCATATTAAATATATTGTTCTTTCACTAGCCCAACCTTGTTCTACATCATGTATTGGTAATTGATACGATACAGTGAGTTGGTGTAGTCTATGGTGTGACTTCCACGTAAGATCTTATAGACTGGGCAGTTATATCATGACAAATCTAAAAATTTAGGATTAGGTCTATTATTAGGGCAGTACTAATATCATAGTAGACCATAATACCACAGATTAAGCCAAATAACAAACACTTTCACAAGACCGCCTAAGAGCGATATGAAGCCATCGCTTCACACTGTAACCTCGAATAGAGTCAAATGAGGCATTATTGTTGGTTGTCAAGTTGGAAATATAACAACAAAGAATAGCGAGGGAGAATCTTAACGGAAGTCGAAAAGTGAGTATTTAGTCGAACGAGAATGAGGGATGTCAAAGTCTGGTCTCACAGGTCCTAGATAAAACCGACGTCATAGGCGTGACATGTAAAGAAGACCCAAAGTGCGACTATAGTAAAGCTTGAGACATTTGCCAGAATCCAGATATACATAAGATAAATATGTGAAAGTACCCAAAACTCCAAATCTGTTACACTGGCGGAATAATTTTTACCGACAAATGTGTTGACAAGGAGAAATCTCTGATTTATGATCTCATGCATTCATATTGATAGTAGAATTTCCAAGATGTAGAATATAATGCAATTTCACATCTGTTCACCAGTAGTGAGAAAAGTTGAATGATAACAACCCCAGTACAATCCAAATTATGGAGGACGAGTATTTTGGCAACTAATACCCCAAGACAAAGTGTGTCGGGTTTCGAATAAGTTGAATATGAGTTGATTCGAAGCTTGTCAATAATGGATTATTTTCAAGTCCTTAGAAGATCAGAAATCCTGTATAATAAATACACCTTACATATTATATCAACAACCATAGAACGGTAGTCAGATTTAAATCCATCTGCATATCATTTTTGAAGCTGAACTATGATTTTAGGCGCAAAATGAGGTGATTATGTCACCGAAAATCGAATAAATATGAGAAAGCTATTTATAATTCAGTTCTGATCACCTCAATATTCACTGAAGAAGCGCGAAATATGAATCTAAGCCGTACGTCAAGGTCTTTTAGGGTTATCTTCACATATTTGACGTTCTAGTTCCTTTGGTGAGACTATAAATTATGGACGACCTCCGAGTGATGTTAACTTAACCTTGAAAGTGCACACCTAACAACTGGGACCAAACGAGGGTTATAAACCTGTGTGAGGATTTAGAATTATGGTTAACATTTGATGGTTTAGGTTAGAAATTAGATTTAGGGTTTTCATTACGAACCGACATCATCTATAATACCAAAACTCTATTTATACGAATAATGAGTGAATTTCGCGCCAACATTCGAAACCTGTTATTTTGTACCTGATTGATCAACTAACTGGTTCGTTCAGAAATTATAGTCTCGCTGTGTTATAGTTGATGTCATTTCATGGTGAAACCCTTAGTCCTGACCCTAACATCTAGCTGTTTAAAATAATCGTAATAGCTCAGAGTGGTTTATAATTCTCGCTTGACCTTAGAATGTAGATGACGAATTCCAGGGAAAAAATGTACCAATTTCGGTGCAGCTTCAACAAAATATTATGGGCATACGAAATAAAACCCCGAAATTTTTCCAGATTTTCTTAAGATCGCGAGATTGTGTGTGCATGCTCCAGGTTACTTTGGTGTCGCTATGAGGACATGCATAAATTTAGTTTCATTGTTATGTCATGTAAAAATGCGTAACTAGATCTCATACGGCTCAAACTAGCACTCAACTCGAATGGCAGTGCTATTCATGAGAAGCCCATCTCTGCCACCATTAGTTTGCACTTGGACAATGTCTTGTATCATTTTCTTAGTTATTGACCCTATATTGTTTCAGACAGTTCTGTATCGTCTAACTAGTAAAGTTTTTGAAAAACCTCACTCCCTATCTGTTTTTTAAACACATAAACAAGGTGTGAACTTTTGTTTTCTTTTGAGCGTCACTACTAACCTTTCTTCTCCTTCTAGTAGATAATGAACGAATGGGAGTTGTCCGTGTATAACACATCAGTCTTCAATAATAAGGATAGTAGGTCTATCGACCTATATTAATCCTTGCAGTTTGTAATACTGTGGAGGTCCAACCTCGTTTTGAATATATTAACAGACGGTGCTGATATTACGTGTTCCGGTAGAGAATTCCAGTAATTCACTACTCGGCGCGAGAAACGGAACTCCAGACGTAAACGGTTTGATCTCGGTTTTTGAACTTTCTTCGAATGTCCTCTCAAATGATCGGTTCTAGACAGAAACAAAAGATAAGACATGTTAATACCAAGGTCATCTTTCAGTATACGATAGGCCAATATAAGATCACCCCGTATTCTACGGTAAGATAACGGAAATAAGTTAAGGTGTCTCAGTCTGTCTTCATAAGATAGGCCAGATAGACCTTGTACCATCTTAGTAGCTCGTCGTTGGACTCTTTCTAGCATATCTGCTTCATACTTAAAACAAGGACACGCTGCTTGAATCCCGTATTCTAAATGTGGTCGCACATAAATCGGGTATAGTAATCTAAACATTTCATCATCTAACTACTAGAAAGACCTACGAATTGACCATAATACCTTATAGCCTTTTGCAGCAGCAGCCTTACAGTGACTAGTGGTTTTGAGATCATTGCTTAATATGACTCCTAAATCTTTATAGTTTCTTGCTTTGAGTAGCACGAATCCACGTAGTATATAGTCATACGATTCATCAGAGTTATTTAACTGCATCACTACACTCTTATTAGGATTTACTTCTAGTGACCACCTGTCTAACCATGCCACCAATGAGCTAAGATCGTCCTGTAATACTATTCTATCCGACATACTATGTATGGGTCTCCAAATCTTTATGTCATCAGCGAAGAGTAGAATGGATGATTTTGCTACAGTTGGCAATTCATTTACATAAAGTAAAAGGAGAAGAGGACATAGGATTGTACCTTGGGGGGTCCCACTTTTTACAGGTATCCACGAGGAGAGAGCCCCATTAACCCTTACCCTTTGTCTCCTATCATGGAAAAAGTTACTTATCCAATCTACGACTGTATAATGGATTCCAAAACGTTCCAGTTTGAATTTAAGACCAGAGTGTGAAACCTTATCAAAGGCTTTACTTAGATCTATGAAAATCACATCCACAGGAACATTCCGATCCTTTGCCGCAGCCCAATCTTCTCGCGCAATAAGAAGATTTGTCAAGCAAGATAGGCCTTTCCGAAAATCATGTTGTGCCCTGGAGAAAAGATTTTGCCCTTCAACATAGTTTATAACAGCTATCCGAATGATTTTCTCCATCAGTTTTACAACTGCACTAGTTAAGCTAACGGGTCTACAGTTACTAACTAAATCACTATTCCCAGCCTTATACACCGGACTTATTATGGCGTCTTTCCAGTCTTTGGGCAGTCTGGACTGCCTTAGAGACATGTCGAATAGTATCGCTAATGGTTCAGCAATTTCATCTGATAGGGATTTCATAATCCTAGGATGAATATCATCCGGACCACTGGACTTATCAGGTTTGAGATGCTGAAGTAGCCTTAAAACAGTACCTTTTTCAATGACTACAGGGTCCATCAGCGAGCCGCCGCAATCACAGTGAATCGTTGGTCGTTCCTCATTACCGATAGAAAACACTTTACTGAAATATCTCGATAAAGCTTCAGCTTTTTCGGTATCATTTTCTGCCAAGATTAACGGATTTTCTTGTATCAAAAGTAGTGGAATTCCATCGCTTCTCTAAGTTCATCTTTTCAAATACGAGAATAACAGTTTCGGACTATATCTAGAATCCTTAACCAATCGTTTTTCATATGATCGTCTAGTATTACTTATTAACACTTTACAGGCATTCCTAATCTTACAATAACTGGATATGTATTGTTCTAAGCCAGTAGAGATGAACATATTTCAGTGCTTCTTCCTTTTTCTAAGAAGTCTCCTGACTCTTTTCGTTATCCATGGTGGACTGTTATTCGGTCTTCGCGGTACCAGGTATGGTATGAACGAGGACGTAAATAGTCTAAATTTACCTTTAAATACAGACCATGCTTCGGTTTGGGCACCCGGGCAGTATCACAGCCCTCACACATATCGAATGAGATTTGTGTGGCGCATATGTATTTGGTGCCTTGTTGTACCAATATCTATATGTTAAAATAAATAAATCTTCAACTGATATGCTAGTATCTACTAACCAATCTGTCTTAGCAGCGCATTCCTGAATGGCTGATATGTTAGCTTTCCATACATTTGGGCGAGGTGTAACCTGATCGTATAACATGTCCCTAGTTCTAAACGCGAATGACAAAACAGCGTGATCGCTGTTCACTAACGGTGGGAGAATATTTAAGTCAACAATATCCTCAGTCTCATGAGTGATTACCAAGTCCAGCAGAGAAGAACCCTGGTTTTGTTTTTCATATTCCTTATAACTCGTCTTCCCACAATAAATAAATCCCGAGTTTCATTCTGTAACAACTCTTGAAGAAAGATTATCAACGTGTTAAATATATAGAGAATTACTCCAAAGTATGCACAAACTTTGATTGTTTGTCTCTTAGCTAAGGACTTCACTCAGGGAAGGAGGTATTCTCACTATTTAATAAATCCCTTAAAAACTTTTTCAATGTTCATTATGATACCAATTACACTGAAAAACTAAATTTGTTTTCCGTTGACTAACCTCACTGAGTAATATATCGTTCGTTTATGTCTCTTTAAGATCAATACAAAAATGTGTAACTATTTCTCATCTGTTGAGGTGAAATATATGTCACGTAACATTGATTTATGATAAGTAATTTTCTTCAACCTGTTCGTGAAATCAGACAACGGTTTTACGACCACAACATCCGTACTCTTGTGTACTGCCTTCATTTATACCACCTTTTATTTCTTTAGTTTAGACTACTAACGTTCTCGTTGCATGCATTATTCTCCTTAGAAACTATAGTACAAACTTTACACAACTAAAAAACGTGACTAAACATTTGTTATAATGTCATATATCTCTAGTTAAGCCATTTAATAGAAATTAGATGGAATGAAATAAATGGAACACCAGGTTGTATAGTTATCACACTAGTTACTATACTGTTGGCATCTTAAGACATTATTCAAAAACGAAAATTCAGATCACAATAAATGCATAGTTCGCAACTCGTGAATGGGTGTTTAGTCAACGTTAAGTTGGTTATCCAGCAACAAGTATTCACAAATAATTCGTAATTACCTAAATCACCTTCAGCTCAAATTGTTCTAACCCCTTGTTTCTCTTTTTTTGACAAAAACATATGTAACTACACGTAACTACAGCTCTCCCTTTCTTCAATGAATAATAAAAGATCAAATGATGTTAGTATCATTCCTAAATCAGATATTCGTCAATTGATTAGAGTTACAAAGCCACAAGCTCAACGGACTATTGATCATCCTCATGTGAGATATAATCAACTCGGTCGGATATCATGCATTTTATGTGGTGTGCAAATCAAATCAGAATTTGCTTGGACTGCACATATACTCAGCAAGTCGCATAAACAAGTATGTGCTGAGCTTTTGTCTTTTTTTCTAAAATTACTATAGAACGAACTACGTGGAATCCAATTGCCCATTAAACGTCCTACTACAGGAGCCAAAGCAATTGACGAGGTAACCTGTAAATCGGCGAAAGTTGAAAACGAAGTAGGTGTGTGGGAATTTCTGTGATGTATATTTCCATATGTACAGGTTAAGTCAGACGAGAAAGATTCGGATGCTAACCAACACAACAACTTACCAACGTTAATTCCCAGTGAAAAAATATGTGAAAAAAATCCTGCAGAGAAAAAAGTAGAATCGCAATCTCAACTTCCAGAAGGTTTTTTTGATGACCGATATAAGGATGCAAAAGTATGACACTATAATATAATGATTTTTCATGGCGACAATTCCACTTCTTTTTTGTTATATAGGTTCGATGTGTTCCATATAAGGATAAAATGGCAGAAGAGTTGGAACTTTTTCAAAAAGAAATGATTGCTCTGGAAAAGGTAATTCTATACTTTTCACTGTGATATCTACTCATCCATAATAAATCCAACTCTACAGATATGAGTTTGTGTGCTCACATATGAGCTGCACTTACTGTTTGGCAAGGGTTATTATTGCTGGGGTCCGCAGCATAAGTTATATAGAGTAAGATTTTAACCCTAATCCGGTAGTTTACCGCTTTAATTCCTAAGCCATCGTTTCAAGGTTATAACGTATTGTCTATAAGTCTAGTACTGAAATCATTGAGATGATCAATTTCTCACCCTTATCAACTTCTTATGTATTGAGAGGATAGAACAGATTTTTTTCCTTGCACGATATATTGCTGTATTACAATAATATATGCTGAGCGGATGACCGAGTTTATAATACCGCTAGATTTGGTACTCGAATGATCCGCTGTACTCATACTAGACCATATCATGTCAGATACCCGATCCACGGCTAAATATAGAACACTAAAACATAGACTAACTAATACTTTATTCTACACAATTACAAGCAGTCACTCAGTGACTCCGGAGTAAAAGTGAATTAGAGGAAAGGAAATCGCATATTTAGTAGTCAGTGAGTTGAGTGCCTCTTTGCCCACAATCAGCAACTAATCATACTTTCATTACTATATATCGAATTCATGGAATACTCTTGAATTTTATTGTGATGATAATTGGGATATTGTTTATTCTTTAGTGTTAGAGACCATATATATATATAAACTCGGTTATCCGCTCAGCATATATTATTGTAGTACAGCAATATATCTTGCAAGGAAGAATATATATATATATATATATATATATCCTTCTGGCTTGGACAAGAACATGTAGGCTGAAAGTTTGAGTGAGTTTGTAGTCAAATTCCTCCAATGATGTGGTTTGTTTATAAGACCTTGCCTACCGTTTGACCTTAAAATGGCGTCTTATCAATTTTATAGATTATTAGAACTTTGTGTTGTTGATATTCTGTTTTATGTGCATTCTAATTTTTATCATGAAATTTGACAATGTACGTTTATCTGTCTGGTGACTGGTATCTACTTCAATGTCTTCCCCTCCAACCCTTGATCCCATACTGTCTGACAAATAATACGGAAATTATGTTTGTGTCGTTAATTATTATAAAAACCTATAAAATTGTATAGGACAAGAGACAAGTAAGCTAGGAAAAATCATTCGTTGACAATATATTCTTGTAACATACTCTAAGTTCCCCAAACATTATGCATCGAAGTAGGAGGTGGCTTTCCATACGTAGCAATAGGAAGTGATTCCTCTTACCGTTCTTCACATGAGGAACTGTAGGTCAAAGCTAAATACATGAAACTGTGCTTGATTGCTGAGTTAAGAAAATAATTCAAGTACACCTTTCTGTTGATTGCCCTACCGTATTTGCTACCTTGCTGTAGTGGTCGGGCTTGGACATCGTAATAACCCGATCGAACTATATTAGGTTGAACACTCCTTCAGATCTTACCATGTCGTTTAGTGAGCAGTGAGATTAAAGGCAATAAATTCGGACCCGATGATAAAATCGTACTGCCAGCGGTATAGTAGCATGGTGTAAGATGTTTCCTTCAGATAAAAAGCATCTGCAACGATTCTGTCTTCTCACGACGGAAAGAAGGGTTTAGAAAATTCCAGCCTTAAAATAGCAAATTTTAGCTTGCCTCATGGATTTGCTTTACCGGATGTAAGGTGTTGTGACTTTATGTCCGGCTTTTTATCACGTGATTTATCCACCAATCAAAATACGAACTATACAATCTTAGCACTGTGCCAAACCAATGACGTTCGACCGGTATGAGCAGCCTAGCGTCCTTATTGGTCCTATGTCCGCCTAGCCCGTCCACTTGAGTCGAGAACACCAATACCAGCTTCCACTATGCGTATCGAATCATTTATTTCAGACATAACGGGTTTATATATCAACCAAACAGACCTCAACGCACCATAAAATAGGAAATAACATTTGTACACAATAAAGCCAAAAAGTGGCTGTGAACGTAGGAGGCAGTAGTTAATAAACTGAGCATAGCTTCAGAACAGTAAATCGTACAATAATAAATTATAGGTCAAAATAAAGCTTATAACAAGGGGAATATAGATATACATAATCTAGTTACTGAATATTTATACCATGAGAATGTATAGATAATATTATTCAATTAATATGTTTCAGAAGTTACTCGTGATTTAATCTTCGCTCGGATATAACATAAGGTCTTATGGCTAACACATTAAGAACTACTTTAAAAAGACCAATGCTGTCTGCCTCAGATAGCTCTCCATTAATCAATCCAGCCACACTTTCGGGTCGTCAAGACCATCCTTAACCAAATTTATTGTTCAGATTTCTCAAGAAAAAGCATTTTTTTCAGTGTGTGGACAATCGGGAAGTAACACCCCCCTCATACCTCTAACAGCACTCGAGGTCATCTTGTTCACAATCGAAATCCCCTTCCTTCTTCTGTTCTAAGTTACGAGAGACAAAAAAACTTAATAAAACTATATTCGCATGCTTCAAATTTTGATACGTATCAAGAACTGAATATTTCTATTATTATTATTATTATTATTATTATTGTTATTATTATTGTTATTATTATTATTATTATTATTATTATTATTATTATTATTATTATTATTATTGATTACCTTAACTACTGATAAGTGAATATTTTCTCAGCACTCAGAAGAAATCATGGAAAAAGAAAGTGAAGCATCAGTATCTGAACGAAATTTGGCTGAAATAAATGAACAAATGTAAGCCAACTTGTTTTCACAACAAAAATTGCATTTGTTGAATTATTTCTTAGAAAAAGTTAATTAAACGTTATTAGTCATCGCTGGACAGATGACATAGTCCTGTTTGGTGAAGACGCTGATAAAATGCAGTCTTTTGGTAGCACTAAGCAACAATGCTAAGATGTTTGAAACGTGTTTCCTCCCCTCTAAATGCAAGTTACTGCTTCAGGACTGGTCTGCGTAAACACCTGAACTAAGGATAGCGAGTGAAGTAGTCGAACGCGTCGACAACTTCACTTACCTTAGAAGCCTGATCAGCAGTAATGGGTTGGTACCTGACGAAATCTCAGCACGGATTCGAAAAGCTCGTTTGGCTTTTGTCAACTTGCGTCACCTATGGCGGAGGCGAAATATCCGTCTATCAATTAATGGGCAAGTATACTGTGCGGCAGTTCGTTCTGTTTTACTTTACGACAGCGAAACACGGCCATTAAGAGTAGAAGGTACTCGTAAGCTACTAGTATTTGACCACAGATGTCTTAGAAATATTTCTGGCATCTGCTGGGATCACCGGGTAAGTAATAGTGAGGCTAGACACAGGATATTACGGAATGATGGTAAATCAGTTGATGAGGTTGTAAATCTTCATCGACTGAGATGGTTGGGCCACGTGTTACGTATGCCTGAACACCGATTACCACGACGTGCGATGCTAACCGGTGTTTGGTATTGTTGAAAGTTAGGAGCGGCCAAACCAAAACGTGGCATCAGTGCTTGAAGTCACTAACTTCTGGTCTGAGCCATATTTGTAGATGGAGACTACTTGGTTGGGTTTCGTGTGACTATCGTAACCAGTGATTGGAGATTCTGCTTGACATGACTGAGAACCGATCACAATGGCGTCGCTGTATTCACTCTCTATCCTCCCTTACATTATGAGATTAAAATTACTTTTTGCCTTTCGTTTCTACGAACTAGTTCTTTCTCCCTGTATCATATCTTTATATGCAATCTTTTTTTATACATTGCGGCCAGTGAAGTAACTTCTATGAATTTTGTGTTCATCTTGTGTTAATGATGTATGGCGAATTGGACCGATGCATATATATGTGCCTGGTCCTATGTTGTTGATGACTAATGACTGAGATCATCAATTTACGACCATTTTCTCTGATCGTGACTCCACAAGCAGGTGAATGGCTCCGCGATTGAAGTATTCGTGTTTAATCATTCAGTCTCAGGTCCGAACCCCACCCCGCTTACTTCAATTTTGGCCACAGGTTACTATCGCTTATCAAAAGTTATTCTATTTTTTGAAACGTTTTAAGTAATAGCACCTGGGTCTCTAAATTTCCTTTTTTTAAACAATATATTTCATAGTTTATCACAGATTTTAACGTTATCTGCTACCAAAATCTGTTAAGATCAAACCATAATGTACCCTGATTTCTAACGGATCACATTTCTGTTTGGTGACATTTAGTACTAAATAGTTATTCTACCTTTCGAAAAGATCAGATTCCATGGATCAGTCATGCGTGGTACTTATGTGCACTGGTTTAAGTTGCCACCACACTATGTTAGCATAGTGAAATGAAATTATGTAAATAAATGTCAGGGTAGTAGAAATAGTGAAAATATCAAAGTTAATAAAAAACATTCGGCATAAACAATGAGATCCGAGAAGAAGGAGTAAATTCACCGAATGGAGAGTATGAAATAATTTTTAATTCATGATATAAGAGGAGAGAAATAGAAAATTCATCTGAGCTATTATAATTGATTCCGAGTCGTATATTTGTGAACGAGAATACAGGTGGAGACAGCCAAATGTATTTTAATACGAAATTACAGAATGTCTTGGTAAAATATGAGAACCATATATTGAATACTTCATTTGCAGATCTCTATCATTTATCCTTCACATTCTGTATGATTCTTCCTAATTGTAGTTCCTTTCTATTTCTCTTTCCACCCTCTCCAACTAGATTTTCTTAACCATCTACTGTCATGATTTCCACTTCCGATTGGTGTTACATACACCACAATATCACCAAACAATCTATTACAAGTGTCATGACCTACTTGTTTTTCTTTAAATCCTTTATATTACTAATAAGTAGTTACAATTCATGAGGTTTGTTTTTCTTGAATCCATTATCGTTTGGTGAGTATTGACTCAAGTGATACTAGAGATACAATTCATAAACGACCCTTGATTTTATATATCAAATATCCAAATATATGTAACCACTATTGTAAATCGGTTCATTTAAAATTTATCAAGAGAATCATTCACTTTAAATGAATAATTTATCCTGTCTTTCAAACAACGTAGTCCAAAGTCTCAACATAATAATTAATGATTATGACCTCATAAAGAAAGTCACCTATGGCGTCATTACAAAAGAATTTTATGGGATGAATTGAAGTGTTTCGAAAAAAGAAAACACTGACTTCGCTTTAGTACATAAATGCTAAGCCATTCAGTTAGTTGTAACATAAAACATACATCGGTTCAAGTTGTCATATCCCATTGGCACACAGAGATGAAATTGTCAGACCAAACTCCATAATAGTAGAGGTAATAACAGTATCAGTGGAAATAGAAAATATTACTCATTGAACATACAACTCGACAAGAAAATATAAATTAGTGAAATAAAAACACAAAAAGTTATGATGAATTCACAACTCCGAGTCTGAGGAAAGACACAGAATGCATCCATCTGCACCACTGCGAACGATTTTGAGCCATATCATTCAAAACCTCTGACCACTGGTTATGATAATGACGTGAACCGCAACCAGGTAGTATACTGCTACTATCATTACTCAGTTCAACTGTCATTGACTTGATGGACTGATGTAATGTTTTGATTTGGCTGCCCCTAACTTCCTTATAGTTCACTCCTACACCAAACAACATCACTCATGGAAGTAGACAGTGCTTAGGCACACGTAGCACATCTTGACCATAAATACTATGATGAGTCAACACCTAAGTACATTTTTAAAAGTTTCCTCTCTTCAAATAGATCCTTTTTAATAACTCCATGTACGACTAATAATAGATCGATTACTGATTAAAAGTGTAGAAATACATATTTTTTGTCATTAATTTGCATTTAGTTTAGTTCACTTGGTGTCTTAGAAAACAATCGATTAACTTATTGTTTGATTTCATTAGGTTTGAGTGACCTCGACAAAACAGAGATCATGAAATCTCTTAGGTTAATCATGTTATCGACTACATTATAATGTACTTGTTATATATATGAAACGACATTCCACAGAGGTGTTTAGTAACTGTAATCACAAGATAACAATATTTCTTACCCATTTATCCGTCTAAGTACTCTTAGCTTTTGTTTATTTTGGATGACTTGTGTCATTTCGGAACATAGAACTCTATTATCGTTGATCGTTGGTGTTCTCATCGGACAGAGTCATGTCACTGTTTTCTGATTTATACTATATGTTATGTCATTCTTATTCATTTATTTAACTGACATATTTTATCTAAATCCTGTCTAAATTATGGGTTTCAGTCATGTTAGGCTACCTGTAGCACAGGTAATATGTCTGTCTATTTAAGAGTGAATATTTCCTGTAACCATTAGTTGTTTATAATTTTTAACCGATAAAACTAATTTTGGAGGCAGACAATATGGTTAGATTTCTCGTGTCTGATCATATTCGGAATAAAAACTCAACAGTGGATAAAACACAAAATAACCCTCAACTAAACTTTCACTACCCCCCCATTACTCTTAACCCAGTACCCAATTATTGAAGAGACATAAGAAAGGAGACGCTTTACTGCCATTCAAAATGACGATTACTTATGGGAAGGAAGCGTATTTATAGGATTTTTCAGGGTATTCTTAAGAGTTAGTCATTGTAGATGTGGCAGAATTTGTTATTGCTGATTTGCATGCAAGCGGTTTGAAGATTAATAACAGCCTATCTCGACTAATTTGAGTTTAATCTTTAGTGGGCTAGTGCATTTTCCAACAGATTGTAGATAACTTCGAAACATGCTCACATATAATGGAAGCATGAATTTACTAATGTCAAGTTGGGACCGTAGTTATAGTTAAAAAGTGATAAGTCAGTTGATGAGAATGTAGATATTGACCTAAGTAGATGTAGCATGTATTGCTTATCTTCAGCTACTGACTTCTGTGATGTGAGTTCGTAGCTACAAGAGAAGTAGGTCGGAATAAGACAGGCCTAGGGGTGATCAAACGTAAACATACAATTAATCCATGAAGCCATTGAACTGAATCACGTTAAAATGTACAAATTTATCAATTGAATTCCAACCTGTACTCTGTGATCTATGCTAGAAGGCCTATGTAACTCAAAATCGATCACAAGATCATATATACATTCACATTTTTTTGTATCTCCCTTCAAATATTAATTCTATTTCATACTAATTATTCCGTAATTGTATCCATTTGTGTTTAATTCTCACCATCATTAGTATTATTTGTTTTCTGTACTCATTGATGTAGTCTGGTAAATTAAATCCTACTTAAGGTCGTTTATAACTGATTGACTGTAAAAAGGTCAATAGTTTATCATTTGTATTGGTTCCGAGATTAATCCACTGTTTTTTTCTTATTTTCGTCTGCTTATTCAGATAAACAGATTCATGAGTGACATTTCTTTGAACTCACAACTTTTTAACATCTACTAACTACTTATCCAGTATTTTTTTGATCTTCTCACCGTTTTTTTTTATTTCTACCATATTTAGAATGAAATGGGAAAAAATCAAACAATTAGAAAATGAAAAAGATTTATACGAAATGCGATTAAAGAAAAAACTAACAGACAGTATAAATCAATTTAAAAAACTCGAAAACCATATAGACATCAAGATAAAAAAGGAACAATGCTACACAGAAGACGACGGTGACGGTGATTATAATAATAATAATAATGGTGATGAGGATGATGATGATGATGAAGACAATATCTCCGATGAATTAAACAATTTCCGAACAAAAAATACAATTTAAATGAAATAACGAAAGACATTGTCTTTTCCTGTGTTCTTTTTCACATACATACATAACTATTTCTGTATATATGTGTTTATGGAATGAGTGCGTATCATGTTATTTGTAATGTAAAAAATAATTTTATATATAAGAAATAAGCTACTTGCTAGTGTATAAGTAATATGCACATTTGCTATAAAGTGTGTAAAGTATATAGACAGGTGGAGAATGATATATACATATAAGCAGTATATATCTAAATAATTGAAAAAGTTTGTCTTTTTACAGTCTTATATTATTTCATCATTATTCAAGTCCCTGCCATTATCTCGGCTTTTAATTTGATAGTGCTACCGAGTATTCTGTTTTTCTTCATGCAAATAAAGTAAATTGAGTGTTATTCTTTTGTAGTTAGATTAATTTTATACACAATAACAATTAAGAATGAGCAAGATACAGTAAAGATGTGGTCGATTATACAAAAAATGAGAATAGATTGTGAAAGGCGAACAGGCATATGAGAATAAAGTTGTTTATATCTTATTGGATAACGATTAGTATGCCATTGATATATTCATCGGGAGCTGTAATGGAATTTTTATATATATGGTGTTTCGTTTCTGTTTAGTCAATAAATTTCTGTGGTGATATAATTGGTTTTTCATAGCCGAAATAGATACGTGAATGCATATGTCTTCTCCCAAGTAAATGATCAATTTGACGTGTAAATCCAGCGTCGAAGACATTTTCAGCTAATTTAATGAGTGTTCCATTGTTTTCTGTAAAACTATTCATTAAATTTGTATATCGTATCCGCCATTCAGGATTCTCACTTGGTATTACTAATGTACCATTCTGTTGTGGATTAAAGAGAGAGAAAAGTATAGAATGAGTAATTTTTTGTGATAATATACGATAACAAATATGGTGGAGATTTGTTGCTCAGTTGAATGATTTTGGTGTTTTGTTCTCTGGGCTGGATGGTTTGGTCGTGGAGCTTTCATCGTTTTTTTAACAACATCAGCAGCACACATTTCAGGCTCTGATATGGGGTTTTTCAAAAGAACGGTGAAAGCTCCACAACCAGACCATCCAGCTCAGAGAACAAAACCCCCAAGATAACAAGTAAAAAGTCTTACTATAATCATTTCCCTGTTCTACAGTTGATACTACATATATTTGAGATGGGCTATTTTTTTATGAATGATGCCACATATATAAATCGAAGTATTAATGAGAGAATTTAACAAAATGAGTGAACTCGACACAAATATGTTTCAGCCGAACTTGTACTAATAACTCTTTATTCAGTCCTTACCCGATAACTATTGAAAAGATGAAAGGAAACAAAAGATTTGTTCCCTTGGTTTGATTGACAGTGATACATGGAAAATTGTTTTGATCTTCAATGTGTCCTCAATTATTATCTAATCAGGATAATAATTCCATAGAGCCTGTTCCAATGCCAAAACCGTGATTTGAAAACTCCATGTAGTGATTATTTCTTTTTGAAAACTCTCGCTTTTGGCGATTTTTGGGAAACAATACATTTCCCAGAGCTTTTATATCCATGTTTCACATTTTAGCCAACAAAATTTATGTGTTCCCGTCTATCAGCTTGAAGTATCCACTTGTAACAGGATAGTTCTTATGTGAATGACACAAGCGGTTGTTAAGTATTGAATGAGCATTAAAATTATGTTCATTAATCCATCAGACAGTCTTGAGACCTTGATTTTTGTTCTTAACTAACTCACTTTATATTTGTTATTGATCCTGTATTTTGGAAACCATACCAGACGTATATATGTATGTATGTGGTGTTTAACATAATATTTTTCACGTAGAAACACGTCTGTTTTTATTGTGAACTACTTAACATGTACGTAGAATTTGGTATTAACGTTCATTTAAGATGGATCGTTAAGTTTATAATGGAAATAATATAACTATGATAAATACCAGAATTGTTAGTGAGAAAATACACACACCAATAAGTTTTATATATGTTTCACTGATTGAAATCATGAGTCAATTGAAGCTAGACCACCATGAAAAACACTGGACAGCCGTTTTGTCCTGCTATGGGACTCCTCAGCAGTGCGCATCTACAAATGTATATTGCTTTATTGATTATTACAAGATATGACATTGTTCAATAGGAATTTACAGATGATAACGCTAATTAGGCTGATAAAAATGAACTGTGTTTTGTTTCTAAGCAAATTATTTCCTTTCTGTTTGCACGTTAGAAGTATGCGACAACTTAAATCGATACAGTAACAATAAAAGATGTGACAATTTCCAAAATTGTTCCAGGCAGATTATAATAGTTGGTTCCTATTTTCTCTGTAGTTGTAAAAACCTTAATTGCAACTGATGTAATGTAACAGTATCCGAGCTTAAACCAGTCGTGTATATTCTATGATCGTCTAGAAAGAACTAACACAGACTATTTACTAGCTGATAAATCTACAGTTCGCAATGAATCAATAACCTGTGTTAATTTTCTAATGAACTACAAAATAAAGCAGGATATCATTCACAACTTGTAATAGACCTTAATATCCTTCATACTATATAACTAACCATAAATTAAGAGAAACTATCTATTGAATTTAAGCTGACAACATTATATATATATATATATATATATATATATATATATATATATATATATATATCGCTTTTTACTCACACACACATCCTGTGATCCAAATGATCACGTATTTTCACTACACACTAGTCGTGATTAGTCTATGTGTGAATTTAATTTACATACCTTTATTATTGGTCTACATCAACCCTCCCCTACTAGTGATTAAAAAATAACAGTACATATATATATATATATATATATATATATATTGGCACCAATTAAATGGGAAAAAGTGTATCATTCTGTTTTTTTCCAAAGTTTATTGAATCTCAATGAGGAAACAGAAAGAGATAAGGCAAACTCCAATACATCACATAGTTGAACACATATTTCAGTCTTGTATTTACGGTTAATTTTCTTTGAGTTATAAGAATTTTTAACAATAAATTGTTTATTCTATTCGTGTTTATGATTAGCATTAAAAATTTATTCTTTGAAAAAAAACAAACGATAGAGAGAGATAGAGGACAAGAGCTACATACACAACTCATATTGTGCTTCTTATAATCAATAGTAATGAGGTATAAAATGCCAACCTAAGTACACGTTAATGTAAATCATCATGATGAGAATGACGGGTTTATTATTTAATTCCAAAGAAAATAACACATTTCTGCATTATATACAAAAACTTTCAATTGTCATAATGTTATAGAATAGATAGATTGGGGTTACCAGTTGAATCTAGGATATACAGTCTGTCCTGTTTGAGACTTGTCAGTTGGATGTACCTACAGCGTAATGTAATAGTGGTCACTCATTCGAACTTGAACCAAATGTGTTATCCATGAAACTATTCAGTTAAAACAGTCATTAACTTCTAAGACCAGTATGCAATGAATTGGTAAAAATTTGATATTTTCCCATCGTTAATATCAAAGATTTCAATTGATCAGCTGCTATTAGCATGTGTACATTCTAACATGATTATCTTGATATTATCATTTAGACAAAAGTTCATGTTATCAATGTAATCCACGGGAGAACTGACCTCTATTCAAATTTATCTCTTATTAAACTACTCGTAAGAACACAAAACATCAAATTTTGTTAATCGAAATCAAGGGACACACACAAACAAAGAGAGAAAGTATGTAATCTTTAAATACTCCATTATCTATCATATTATTATTTCTTACCTTTTCTAATAATTCTCTAATTCGTTTCATTCGTCTAATAGTTGGTTGAAATTCAATCACTAACGGAATAACAAAATTATCTGATCTCGGTCGTACACGTTCAATTAACATCTCTTCGTAGTCTGTTTCATCCCAATTGACAAGATGAATTTTAATTTTTCCAAAATAATTTACAATTAATTCGTCAATCTACATAGCGAATAACAAAAAATAAATAAGGAAGATGAAAAATTAAATGAAACAATTTAAAACAGATAAGGTGTGTAGTGATATTGGTTCCTAAGAACACAATCTTTGAAGCCGAGCATATAATTACTGAAAAAATTTACATCCAACATGTGACACTCTGAGATATGACTCGGTCATGCAGGCGTGATCACTCTATGTAACCTCTCGTTTTTTTTATATTGAATAAATTAATCTCTACCCAGCCCAAATATGTTCTTCAGAAGTGTTAAACGGCATATTGATAATCGTCACGATAGGACGAGTCAGTATAAACTATGACGTGACTTCCACGTAAGATCTTATAGATTAGGTAGTCACATCATGACAAATCTACAATTTTGAGACTAGGTCTATTATAAGAGTAATACTAATACCGAAATAGACCACAATTCTCTAGATGTAAAATTAAATAACAGTCTAATAAGTATTGGTGCAGAGAGGGGGGGGAAGTGTGAAGATTATTAGGTTTTATAGTTTACATTACGAGTAATTTCTTGTATCGAGATCTAAAGGTCTCAAGTTCAATCCCCTATGGAATTGTGAATCTATGATCTGCCAATAACTCTTACTTGTCCAGTACTTCTTAGTTTCCGACGGTTATCTAACTAAATCTAGTGTATGATGTAAACTATAAAATCTAACAAGTATTTACACTGAAAAAAGGTAGTAAAGAGGATATGTAAATAAGTGAATAGTTCAATCAATCATCGTTTTGTACAGTTTATGCTACCTTTATCCCATTAATTATGTTCATTATTAGTCACAATGATTTAAAATTATTGAGAAATGTATAATTTACTACTAGTGGACAATTTAAACACTGAAAAATATAGTTTGAGAAATACAATACCAATTAACTTTTACAGCCGTTCAACTAGTGACTCTAAATTATTGTAGACTACTATCCAATGATTATTAAGTTACGAAAAAATTGTTCGTTTCAGAGTTTCAATATAACTAAGATAGATAACTAAAAGTTGATTTGTTTATACATGACCAAACCAAAGGCAATCCCTACAGGATGCACATATACCAATAAGAGACTGATCAGTTGCAGTCCTAAACATCAGTGAGAAGATTCAAGCAAGCAATACAAAAGTGAATTTAAACTTCACCCCACTGTATAAGCTAGTGACTATCTGGACTCATTAACTAAGTAGATATCGTGATGTGTTTGAAGCGTACGGTACTGGGTTCGAGCACCGGAGTGACCATCAACTCGGATGCAGGTACGTCCAGCTGACGAGTCACAGACAGAACGAAACGCACGTCATGGATTCCACTGCTAGTCATCATCTATCTTTGCTTACAAAGTTATATGGGTTGGTGTTTGAACTTACAACCAAATAAAGAATAGACAGTTACTCTTAAACCACTAAACCACTCTTTTTCATAGATGGAAATGAAGATATCTAAATTGGTGAAGAGAGTTTGCAGCTCATTTGGATACTTTTGATGTTATTCAGTTTCTATCAGCTGGATGAATTAATTACGAAAATTTTATTGTCATTCTGAATAACATTATCGGTATTTACTTCTTACAGAAGTGAGCCTCTTAGTTATTTCAATAGAGTTAAATTAGTTCACTCTTACGGTTCTCCTTGTGATTGGTTTTTTTAACACCTACAAAAGAAGTTC